CTTTCATTGTTACAAAGCATTCACTACATTTTTATAAATAACCGTTACTTTTCTTTTCGTTGAATCGATTGTTCGTTTCATCAGAATTCACTTGCACTATCTAATTGATCATATCGAGTAAGGTGCAACCAACTCTTTGTTTGACTGTGCATTTTGTGTTACGGTTTGTGTGACGTCACATATAAAATAATTATAATTTTAGCTTGCGTTCAAAATTTCACACTTAAAATTAGCGTAATTCAAAAGTTATTTTGTTGCCCTTATTCAATCACCTATACGGCCCTTACGCAAGTGTTACCCTTACCATGTAATTTCATGATTTCCTCATCGAGCCATTTTCACTGCCGTTTCCATGAGAAACACCAAGATGCATTAAGCTGATATTTCATAAGCCTAATTGTGAGTTTTTAAAGCAAGTATCATACAGCGAACAGTCATGCAGCAAATAACTCTCCAGCGATGTCCTCGCAACTCCTGATAATCCTGCTTCTCCAGATAAAACCATGAGCTAGACAGATACGAGTTGCAACTCATGCAAATGTCTACATCAAAGTTGAGCTGAATCAAAGCGAATTATCTGGCAGACATAGCAAGTAATTAGAAAACGATAATCGAAATTCAAACATAGGTTTTTTTGGTTGTGCGGAATGTTAAGAAGTTTTAAGCTGGAACAAAAACGGTTTTACATTATGCATTCTTCCATCAAATTCGTGTATTCTATAGAAGATTTTCGCAATCTGGCGTGAAATGAAGTGCATGAACGTTAACTATAGCAGCGTATTGGAAATATTTCGATAAGATTGATTGAATTATACTGCAATTTAAGATGCAAATTGCAATAGGCCTCGTACTGGCTCAGAAGTATTTTTTGTAGGCAGATGCATTTAGTGATTCGTAGCGATTTATTTAGCAATAATGAAACATTGCTGTCTAGTGTAACTAATTTTCATTTGAGTATTATTCCACTTATAAAGAAGTGCACAACTTGTGGTTAAACAACCAAAATGAGAAGGACGTTTATGACAGACTTAGTTATTGAGTTATGCAAACCTAGTGAGACGTTGCGTGTATTTTTTGACCAACGAAAATGAGCAAGAACTTTGTTGACTGTGATGAGTTTTTCTGTTCTGATGCAGCTGCAGGTCATAACTCAACAAAGAAGTTTTTTCTTTCGCTTGTCATAAACGAACGCTAGGAGCACTATCAATCTCCCTACGAGACGGACGTAGTGACAGATTGTTGTAGTGAGTAGCAACTATGCAGTCTTCAGTTTTACAACCAATCCTTGCTGAAGTTGGTATTATCATACTCGTGCACTCAATAGCTCAACATATTACCTCAGACACTTCAGTTATTTTTTATTTATGCAAAAAGTCACTTCACACAATTCTTACGACCACACACGAGCTGTTGATGACCTTTCGTTGTCATCATCATGATTATTTGTATTATATACACGTTTCTTCGGTGCCTTTGCATCATTGTAACTCTTCGGGAAAAGCTTCCTTCTTCGAAGGAAAGAGTGTTGATAGAGGGCAGATTGTTTTTCATTGATTTACTGAACCATCGAACTTGCAACTAGCAGCTCTTTTCTTCGCAAATTGACTGTGTTATTCGTCTAACAATACATACGTTTTCTCGAGAAAAACGAAAAGAAATGAATTCAATAGAATGAAGGCGCTTGTCTGTCTGTAGGTGAGAATAAATGTTTTTACTTCATTTAGATTCGTGTCTTGAATGTCACATAGTACGCGTTGATGAGCTATCATAACGAATGCAAAAGCACAAATAATATCATTTTGAATCTACCACTAGACTACAATTATCTATCAACAACAGTTTTTTAGGCATGCTCTTTCAATGTCATGCATCATTTCGATAAACTTCCCGCACTGCATGAAAACAATCTAGTGCTCACTTTATAAATCCTATTATTAAGCCATATGTATACACTGACCCAACTTTACTTCAGTTGCATCATTAGATTAATGAAAAATCTGAACAACTTTTATAAATACAAGAAAGCGTTCCGCATAGTCTCATTACTTCAAACCGTTCAGCAATGCATACACTGATTCGTAATCAGCAGTTATTCTCTATAGGCTTACATATAATAAAAGAAAGTAATTGAAACCAGTCGAGAGTGTGATCCAATCCGTCTTCAAAAAGTTTCTCAAAATGAGGCACTTCATGGTTCATGATGAAAAAAAAAACTGAACCATTCAGCGAGAACACGTTAAAATGGTTCGCAGAGGATGATGGCCAAAACAGGAAATCTGAGATTAAAACGGTTAGGTTGTGAAGCAGCATATTATTTTGATGCAGATGTTATAAAAGAATGATAAAAAGTTTGAAATTCGCTTTCAACGACATAAAACAACATACCCAATTACAAAATAAAACCTCAGGCAAACGAAAAAAGATGGCACCTGTCTTTTGGAGTTGTGATGTTTATATTTTGCTCGATATTTTCGTAATCACATTCAAGCTGATTCGAATTTTCAATCGATACAAGGAATAAGATCAATATGAAAAATCAGAATAACAGGGACCGGAAATAAAAAACTTTAAAAAAAACCGTACTTATTTGATTTGCATGAGCTTATTAGCTTAAAATGTTGCAAGAAAATCTTTTCTAACAATAATGCGGTGTCAAGAGAGATTATTCACGGCCTTTCTCGTTCTATCCATCTCTCTCGCTCGACCGATCGCTTTATGCGAAATTCTAGCAAACAACATTGGAATGGAAAACGCAATAAGAAACGATGGTAGCTGTCATTGAAGGAAAACACTCGAAGAAATTATTCAAGACATTCGAATACGAACACCACTACATTGGTGATTGAGTGTGCATGTATATATCTGCGGTGTTTTATATTTTATTTTCATATTTTATTCATCATTCATCTATCAAATTGAATACAACGCGTAAAATAAAATTTTTTCGAAACAATATACATGAACTTTTCTGCACTTGCTAGCCATTCTTCAAACCACATGTTCGTTCATTCAATATCAATAAATTCGTATCGGTATTGAAAGAAGATATTCATTCTTTTTCGATTTCGATGCTTTTTTTGTTTCTGCTCAAACGTCTCATAAAAGTTGAATAATAAAACGGATGAATTCCTCAACAATTACATGATGGTGATAACGAATTTGATCACTTATGATTTTATCAATTTTGTTGAACATGCAAGAAGCACCTTTCTTCAAGTGTATGCTACAAAAATGAAGGAAATGGTAAGAAATAATGGATTACGACTGATATAATAAAGAAAAAAATTTTTAAATAAAGCTTTAAATTAAAAAAAACCACTAGCTGACAATCGAATGACTGGAATGAAGCTCAATTGATTTTCCAGATACTGCGAAAGTTTCGTATTATTCGGTTGTTTTTTCAACGACGCTTTTTGCAGCACACCTCACAGAATAACATGCACATTTAATTAAGAAATTCAAGAACGTATTCCAATACAAATGAACAAATCTTGTAAGTGCTGTTATTCTTCATCATATTTGCGCAGAATTTAAACACAGCTCATCAAGTAGGCATACGATAATTTTCACAACGAAGAAATGGAAAATGTGAAATGGGAATGAATGGATTCACAAATGAATTAAATCGTATTTCCTTCCACAGTCATGCATACACAAACGAAGCCTACAACGCTGAGTGATTTCAACGAACACTCTTTATTGATTATTCATGGAAATTGAAGAAAGTAAAAAATAGCAACAAGCAGAAACACACATTCACACAACATGAAAAGATTGCTGAGTGAGAAATGCTCATTTTTTTTCAACAAAAAAAAATCATGACGAGCATATTGTACAAATTGTTCAAAATACGTTTCCAAATAACGGCAATTCAAATAATCACCTTTGGTAAGCGCCATTCTATTTTCAAGAACGTTTCTCAACTACCAGTAAGTAACACGAAACAGCACGACAAAATGAGTCACCTAGCCTCTAAAAATGAAACGTTACTTCAATTTGAACGAAAAAAGGTACACTGAGCATTGGTTAAATTCACTTACGCCCAACTGAACCTAACCAACTCGTTTGCATTTACTTCAGTGATGATCTCAAAACTTCTGAATATACTGAAATCAAAAAATGAATCAATATCAAAAACTTTTTTAGGCACAGCAATAATCACGAGAGCAATATCATGATGTATCATTACGAAACGAAGTCAAAAACACTGATCGATTTGTTTATAAAAATATTCACCATCTATCAAAAAATAAAACAATTTTGATCTATACTCATAGATGAACATTTGAAACTATTAATCAGCGCAATCACCATCCACACGGTTTCGCATCACAGGCTTTATAAGGATTATGCCAATGCCTACTCAAAAACAATGATATTAATGAACTCCATACCGATGTCCGATTGAGAAAATAAACGCTCCTCACAGTGTTTACTGGTCGTTCTTATGTGAAAATGCCATGATTACCCTCAACAAGCAATAGAGTCTCATGACATGCAGGCGAATCAATTTTCTATGTTCCTTTCATTTTAAGAACAACTAAAATTAATTCCATGATGGAAGATAGACTGGATGAAAGTAACACACTATAACAACGCGCATAAAGGTAACAAATCATTCGCTGAATACAAACAAAAATTGCGATTCGTTCGTACAAAAATGCACTACAAAATGATTTTCAAGACGAGAAAACAAAACGAAAAAATCAAGCGCAAAAACAACGAAAATTATCATATCCTATTTGCATTCATGAAAATATAATATAATACATATTATAAATTATACTACACTAATATAACCCGTAGTTATGTTGTTTAGCGTTCGAGAAAGCTTTCATTCATTAAGTACATCCTTTAAATAAGAGAATGATCAGCAGCAGAACGATCACATTCAAATCGTTCTCTTTGGAATCATCTTTTCACTACTGATACTTCTTATTGGAAATCATCAGAAAAACGACAGCAATAATAGATATAGCACCATTCTGACTCGATCACGATCAGACAGTCGTAACGAGCATTTGCTTTATTTTTTGTTGCTTCTCTTTGAGCTCATCATGCAAACTTTGCAACGTTACACTACTACCGTTGTTTGCTTCAATAGTTTTCTTCCTCTTCTTTTTCGTCTTCTCAGCACTTGTCTTCTCATCGTCGTTTTGCTGAAATATGAACTGAACATGAACATCACTCGAAAACTTCTCGTCTAACCAGATGGTCAGCACGAATATGAAACCTACACATAAATCCTTGCATCATTCGTAAGAAGAGTAAATTAGCGAGAAGAAATTTGATGGATTTTTTAAAACAAAAAAACAACAAATGACTCTTGGGAAAATGCAATGAACCTCCTTCGGATTTTTATAGTTGAAAGGTGAAACACGCACAGAGTTGTTGGTGCAAAAGCGCGGTGTACCAGATGCAGTAGTTAACGTATCGGATGAGACTGCATTTGATAGTTGGTATTCAGTTTCATGCCTATTAGAATCATCTTGATGCTCTTCCTTCAAGTCATTTTGTGTACTCAAGTTGACGCCGCCTCGTGGAAACGTGTTATTCAGCTTTGACGACAACTTATCCAACTTGCACACGTTAGTAGTAGGTGATTCTGAAGTTGGTATGCTTGTGCTACGAGGCTTAGTTGCTTGATTGCATTTAAGCAGAGACCGCGATACCGTACCAGTGCCAGATGAAAGTGTAGCTGATGAGTTGCCAATCAAGTTTCTCTACAAATCATTCAATTTTTTTCCTCGTTGAAACTCAATACGATCACTCTGATCAATCAACTTCAGCAACGATGAAGTTCACTGATTTCACAATGATGTGAAGGTTTTCGAGTTTTTTTGGATGGCCATGAAACAAGATAAGACATTCGTTGAATTCGTAAGCAATACATGGTGCATGTTCTTTCATGACCTCAACACATAATTAAACAGTGTAAAATTGCATTAAGCACTGAATGGATAAGTTCACTTCTTACTTTGTTGAGTTTTGCAGAACTTGGAGCAACTCCCCTTTCAACATCACGTCCATACTTAGTAATGCTGGCTGAACGAGTGCTGGATGCAGCAGCAGCAGTTACCGTCTGTTTTTTGGCTGAAAACATTTCGCTCCAGGCATCAAACGTTTAAAAAAAAAACAGGTAGACGCTTTCAGAGGTTCACCATAACAGATTTATCGCTTTGATTTCTCATGAATACTCAATGCACCTAATGTGGAAAATGTTTTTATTTTGAAATTAAAGATCTGAAAAGCATACTTGGATACCACTGAAATGATATTATTTCAACATTACACAAACACTCAATTAATCATTTCCAAGGGAAATTCGTCCTCACATTCGAAAGAGTTCAAAACGTCGCCTAGGCGAGTATTGCTGATCTTAACGAATCTCGGTCAAATTGGCTAAGGAATCAATTAGTTTATGTGAATGTGAACAGAATGCATGCTGAAACAGTTTTCAACAAAACAGTAATCATTACATCGTGTCAAAACTATTCTATCCCATTAATACATCTACACCTCTCAATATTGTACCAAATGATGACATTCGCCTGCATTCTTCATCCAATTCGTGAAATTTCATGGTGAGAATTTGGATGGAGAAAAAAGATGCGGAAAATTAGGAGGAAAAAGCATTATGCATACACACCTAATAGCTTAGATTTGGCAGAAACATTTCCAGATGAGACTGTCGCTCGGTCAAAGGTCTGTACAGATGTAGCTTTCGAACGACTAACTGCATTTTCCAGTGATGCATAATCTTCACCTGTTGTTTCATTCGTAGACGACAACGTTTCAGCATAACGTAGCAAACTCCTCGTTCTTAGTGGCGTTGCGATACGAGATGCACTGCAAACCAACGAATATTTGTGAAATTATTCGTATTCTCTTGAACCCTCTCAAATCTCGAACGTATACAATTCTTCACGTAATTCAATCGATTTTCATCGCTTATAAACGAACGAAATTTATTTTGTCGCTATAAAACCGGTCTGTTACTGTAGAATACAAGTTCATATAAACAAAAAAAAACAATGGATCAACGAAAGAAGATTATAAAGACGAAAAGGAACCTTATCGTAGCCGGAGGTTGGTGATGTGCTTCACTGTGAGTAGTACCACAGATAATATTACAATCTATGAGCACTTGTTCCGCATGGAATTCCTCAACGACGTCTTCAGGCACTTTAGTGTCAACATCCATTTCTTCCTCATCATCCAACCGACTATAGTTATCGTCACTCAGAGTATCACTACCCTAAACGCTTGTTGAGAAGTTGGTTATAACACATTTGAACTTATAATAAATTGTCATAAAGAAACAGGTGAGAGGGACATTCTCAGGCAGTAATGGCAATGATAACCAGAACTAATCACTGCCAACTGTTCTTCATCAGTGGTAAATAACATCCAAAGTTGAATGTCTGACAAACTGGAAGTGTTCACAAATAATGACCATTCAGCATTCATAGGAACAACATATAATTTTAACTCATCGTCAATCCATGACAACCAAACAATTTTGAAGCTCAGAGCAAATTCAATCGCTGCATTCCTTACAAAAATTCAGCAATTTTTATTTGAAAGAAAACGAGTTGCGACAGCACGAAGTAAATTATTTAGCAAGGAAACGTAGGCTTACAATTAATGTGTGAATAAATCTGCGGAATATTTGCGATTCAAAAACAACTGAAACGAATTAAGACACACCACGAAATATAATTTTAAAAAACAATAGAAACGTTATACTGACCTCATTGGAGAGATGATGACGTAGTAAGCATGCGTCACGTACTTTTTCGGACGTCTTAGCACTTTCGACGAGTGATGAGCTCTGAAACTTGACTATCTGATATGACTGACACAACGTGATGACGATGATGGACGGGAGAAGAGAATATGAAAGCACTGCTAAGAGAACACTTGGCGATGTTTTAAAGGATCTCTATTGAATGATCGAATCCTTGAGAAGATTCGCTCAACTCTGCCTACACAAACAGATGTTTAGTGCAAATTTCTCATAATATGAACTCATCAGCAAAGCTAACCATAAAATCTTTAAACGTACCTGAAGAGCAGCGTTGAACAATGCAGCTGATGAGCTCATATTACCATTTTCACTTGACAATAAAATGTGACTTTCGCCATCATTTGCAGCAGCATTCGTAGCGTTTACACATAAACACGTTTGCACGGTATGACGACTAGCTGACGGATTTGAGATGGCAACCGCAGGTGGGTTTCGCTTATTAGGGCCAGTTGACGCGCGTGCGGTTTCGCCCGTCACGGCCCTCACTTTTTTTGGCGGTGAGCCGAGAGCCAGAGTCGAGCTGGATGGTTCATGACGTGATGAGCACGAGCTTTGCGGCAGCACGCTCGCTATACTGGCTAACAAGAAATCATCGTCATCAGCAGCTGTAACTTAGAGAATGCAAATTAAATTCAATCGAAACCAGAAGAGCTCATTTCAACTATTACGAACATCATCAACTCTAGTGTTGCCAGATTAAATAATCAATTAATTAATTATTTGACGAGAAGCCAATGCATCAAGAATGGAAAATAGAACCACAAATCACTGGCAGTTAATGAAAGTGAAAGTGCACTTTTCATGCTTGATGCTGCTGAATGAATTCGTGCTGTTGAAGCAGATGAAAAATTACGAGCTGCGTTCAGCTGGCGTCGACTATGTGGTGACGGTTTCGGTTGTACTTCCTCAATCATATCAGCCAAGAAGTCTTCGTTCGTCTCAATCCTGAACAATATACAAACCGCTTTTTTTCAATTGAACAACTAATGCCTTTACCATCGAAATCTGCCACTCATAATAATCATGGAACAAAATACTCATTAGTATAACATGGCATTATCGGCAACGACTTCTATCGACAAATCATGATTGGTGCATTGACTTCGTTTCATTACACTATCATGATTTTGTTCAATATTAACTTAGATAGGAACCACAAATGAATAGTCAGCAACATGCAGTAAAATATGTATGAGCGGTGAATATTTTGAAAAGGATAATACGACATTTTTTCCTGTACGATGCGCAGATCAGCATACCTTTTTGGCATAGCTGCTTCAATTGACTGATTCAATAACTCCGAATCCGTTTGTCCCACAAAACTCCTGTAATCTCCATCATCGCCTGTGCAACTCGACTGCTTTGTGACTTCTGAAAGCAGATCATATTCTTTTCATTTTCTGCTTTCGTTCATTTGAATTGATATGAGCAACTGAAGGATTTAAACATGATGAAAAACTGCAACAACAATTTGATCGTATACAGCAGCACGGCATCGCACGACATCAGACTGCCTACTGCTTATGACCAAAATAGAGAAATACATAACAATAAATTAATATGAACAAAATTAAATCGCTATTGATGACGATAAATTGAGGAGCAAACCTTCTTTATTGCGACTAAATGAATCCTGATCATCGTTTCTATCAGTGATATTCAGTTTTTGATCAACCAATCGCGATAACGTATTCGTCTGTGGAATAATGTCAGTGCTGTTACCATCAGCATCTTGTGTTGACCGTTCCTTTTCTCGTGCATCGTCAACAATATTCTCGGACACTGCAATCAGCTCGGACGCCGAAGGGATGGTAACATCATGATGTGATGAGAGAGGCATACATTGTGTGGGAGAATCGGGAAGATCTGTAGCGCTTGCCGGCGATAACCGATTACTGTTCATCGCTGAATTGTTACAACTCTCCCATGCGCTCTTATCACCCTTCAATCAATTACTTGTTCGTAAAATCGAGAGTGATTCTGGTTGTGGGATATACGATTCGATACGGTGTGATACAACGGCTGATTAATGCAATGAAACCGATCTTATGCAACACACAAGCAGAGAGCATATCAAAAGACACATATGTTCAGCAAAAATATTCATTCACTTCGCTTACTGACAATTATTCATAATTTTGGATCGTTTCGTTCGAATTCCGCTTTTCAAACATCGATATCAGAGGCGACCGATGTGCTCAAATTAACTGAACAAAAAGATGAAATTGTAACGAATGGAAGTAAAAACGAACAACTCTTTATCAAAAAGAACATACAGGTAGTAAAGAACTCAGCGATTGAGCACTTGTGCATCTCGTACAACGCACACTATCTTCCACTTCGAATGATGGATCATCCGATCGCATTTCAAGTCGCGCCAACTCCGAATAATCGAACTCTTCATTTGCAGCTGCTAGAAGACCATCACTGCGATCGTCTGCCAAATAATTGCTGGTCGTTGTTTGAGTTTGTGAAGATGTCGATTCTTTTTGCACTTGATGAGATGGCAGTAAACGCAAAGGTGATGCAAAATTGTTACCACTGCAATAGTTATGAAAATGTACAATGAATAGAAACAGTAAAGATTTAGCAAATAAGATTTAAAGTTTTAAAAAACAAATCTATCACTGGAAATGACTTACGCAGTTATAAACGACGATGTGATGGCGGATTGGTGAGGCTGCGCGAAAAGGTCTGATGCAGTATCGGTTCGGTCTGATGAGCAAATATCCGTAGCGTACTTGTTACTGGTACGTTGGAAATAGTGTCTTGGAAGTGAGGCAAACTGCTGTTGTTGTTGCCTTAAGCCAGGTCTCGGAGCGAAACTATGCTGTGTCGCAATTGCGCAAGGTGTAAAGAGTGAAGCAGCTTCGACATTATTCAAACCGGCGCTAGTAGTAGCAACAGCAGTTAGTAAGGATGACGGCGCATGCGAATGCGCTGAGCGCAGTTTGAGACGTCTTGATGTGGTGTCCATAAACGATTGCGTATCCGTTGCTGTACCGCTATATGATGATGACATTCCTTCACAAAAGAAAAAATAATTGAACGATTCATTCACGAATCAATTCGGATTATCCGGTCAAAGAAATTCGATCGAAATTAAAGTAAATAACTTTAAACACAACACTGATCACACCAAAACACCAGAATTCAAATCTAACTATCTGAGCATGACAACCAACCATCAGCACGATATGATGTGCCCGATGTCGCAGTGGCAGTTTGCGTATATGGATGTAGGGGACGATCGGCAAACGCGATGCTTAGATCAGCTGAATTCAAATATTCCAAAACTGTCTTGACGACATTTCGAATATCGTCACGTGTCGAATTGCGTAGGTGATTCAATAATTGCATAGCTTTGTGGTTCAACCTGAATTCCGTTTATTGATTTGATAACAAGTCACGCCAATCTTACAATCTCTAACACCAATGAATACGGAATTATTTGTTACTCTCATCGAATAATTTGCCTCAAACACTTCTGAGTGTTGTCTCGCATATTCAGCTTCCCTATGAATAAAGAGACTTGGCATTCGCGTTGCACAATAAAAATAAAGGAAGAGTGACGAAAAAAGACAGTGACAAAGAAAACTGACAACGTACCTCAGATGTACCCGAAGTGAATGGTCCTTAGCTAAGAGCTGTGAAAGTACACCCAGAGAATTGCCAATAACCGTAAACGAAGGACTATTTAAAAGATCGACTAAACGTAAAACCATTTTATGCAAAGCTGTTGTTGATAACAACTGATTCGCACCAACAACTGCCAAATACATCGATGCATACTTCAGAACACCTGATGCCGGCTCTACCAGTGTCTAAATAAATATTGAAATTTCACGCGAGCGCTGTTCCCACATTCAAGATCAGCATAAAAGTTTGCTTTTTGGTTCATGATTCGCATACCTTCTTCTCGAAACATATCACCACCAATAACTCCGATCATGAGTATCAATCCATTTATTTCAGCAACTTTTTGAAAAATCCAATAACAGCATATTCTTAGCAAAAAGAAGACAGTTATTCAAAAAAGAATACATCGCGTAAAAATGGCAATGTGGCATGCAAGATTTGTACAAAAACGAGAATTAAAAAAAGAATAAAATAACAACCAACCGTATGCTGAGCTTCAGTGGTAAGCAGTTCAATGATCATATCAATAAATCCACTCTGTTCACAAATTGCTTTCTTATTATCGCGTGAATGTGACGCAAGATTCCATAATGCCGACAGCGTGGCGCAAAGACATTTCGTTTCACCGGCACGATAAGCTCGTAATGAGGCACGGCTCAATGCGACCACTGTCGGTGATAAAGTGGCGCTCATTTCAGCATCAGCCATCCATGATAAGTTACGCAACAGACCTGCATAAACCTGCAATCAATCGTGTCACTATGCATAACGATAAAGCTGTAACGAATGAATACAATACAAAATAAGTAAGCAGCTTAATACATAATGCTTGCATGATGAATGAATAAATGGGATATTCTTTATGAAATGACCTTTACCTGGGCAAGTTTATGAGAGTCATCGACCACTCTGATCACATAATCGATAAAATTTGGATACGCACAAAGGCGACGTTTACTTAACGCATTACCAAACGTAAGGTTTGTTAGAGCGCTCGCAATAAGTTTACGAATTTCACGATGCTCTACACCACAATTAACACCAAACGCATCCAACTCCAATATCAGATTTTCAGCCACTGCATCCAATGTACCTGGAATTTGGAAGAACTGAATTTTTGTTACGGTGAACCAGTGATTTGAATCAAAACGGAAAGAACGATGTAGAATGCAAAATAAAATCAAATCACAAAACAAAGTAACCAATAATAGTTGCAAGTTTTCGGAATTCTTCCTCTTCGGATTGTTTCGTGATATCGCTCAACGCGACATGCGCACGTGATATGTAAACTGCAGTTGACAAACTTTGGGTGGAATGTAAGCACTGTCTCAAGAACAACAACTGCTCACGTATACAATTCACTGCTGGTAAAATATGGCGTAAACGTCTTCTCCTATAACGACAATTCATAAAAAGGCACCGAAAACAATAACAAAAAAAAATTAATTATGAATTGTTCTTTCTAACATTCACCTAAAATACTCGTCAAAAGCCTTTTAATCCATCTTCAGACAGGGCTAAAAGAAAAAAACATTCATATCAAAACGCGAACGAGACTTCAAGTGAAGCCATATGAAAATGTGACTGCTGCATGTATATGATACGTGTCATACGAAAATTCCAACCATGAAGTCATCGATAACTACATTATTCTGTATTGTTGACAAACACCTTCCAATAATTGCATTTGCAAAACCAACTCAACATTTCAGATGACATACGTGATTAGAAGTGCCAACGAGTTTATATGAATTGAGTAAAATCAAGAGAGAAAATGTAGAGTTAATCCGGATGATTCCATCTTCAAAATTTCTGATCATTTTTCATTCATTATTTTTTGCACTATACGTTTTAACGCTAAGATTGAGCTCATTAGACGACGCATCTGTTTAAAAACTGATTGAAAGTGATGGAGGAAAATCAGAAAGGATGTAACCTCTGATCATCCGGTTCTTCATTAACCACTGCTTCTAACTGTCGATGCAATTTCCTCAAACGATCCTCATCTCGACTTTGCGGAGCCTTTCCTCTCATACAAGGCCACCTGGAATTTCAGTTTAAAAAACTTATAACATCGACTAATAACATGTAGAACTGGACTAATAAAATAACACTCACGATAAAATAAATGAATCTCATTACCTAATCGTATTTGCATAAACTAAATTCAAGTAGAAATATGCAAACCGACATAGCATACCCATCAACAATCTATGAAAATAAATTTTCCTTTCTCCCATAACTCGAAACTCGAACTATTGACTGAATATATGATATGGAATGGCGAAATAGGTGACTAAGAACGAGCATTATGAACAGTACAAAAAATTCTGCCGTGGTCTTTTGACTCTAGGGTCATGAATTATCTAATTTCCGCCACTACTTACTTAATAGAGAATAATTAACTAATTTCGATTCCACAATAAGAAAATCAAACGTTGAGTAGTTTTTCAAAAATAAATTACAAAAGAGTTTAATGAAAAAACATTTCGCTGCTCATAATTAGATTGAAAAACGAATGACTTACAATGAAATGAAATAAATCAAAAGAGGAAGCTTTAAAACACGCGAAAAATGAAGTGATAATCGATCAGAAATTAATAAACCTATGCGAATCCAGTAGATCTGCAATTCGATCATCGACGTCCATTTGATGATAATGTTGTTGATAATTTTCATTTAACACATTGTGAACGTACGATGATGACAAATTACTTTCCACATCACACACCGAACGCAGCATATACAACGATAACTCATTCAGACATGTTCACTTGTTGCTGCTGATTCCAATAAGTTTCACTTCACCTTTAAACAAACCCACACTTAAATGTGTGCTGCCAGTGTATTATTAAAACGTATCTTTCACTTCCATACTCTAGAAATCAAATCGCCTGAGCCACATCCTTGATCGGTTTCATCGAAAACTAAATCTTAACCGTTCAGACGACGCCTAAACCAAACTCGAAGTCCGGGAAAATGAAGCTGAAATTTTACAAAAAAAAAACACGCAGGTGGATTAATTACAATGGGAAGAGGTGGGGAGGCAATCTGAGTTAACGCGAAATAGAGAGACAGAGAAAGAGAGAGTGTAAATCGTTTCCATCATGCCTTATCGTCAGCGGAAGGACGAAGATGATTATCGATGAATGTTAAAATTTTAATGCAAGAATGTTAATAAGGAGGATGTTGCAGAAGGCTGATGGATTACGACTGGTAACTTCAAAACAACTGATTTGATTTCGTTCATTCGTGAAAATGCCAATCCGTCAATAAGCAACGCAACAGCAGAACAGACAAAGTGATTTATTGATTTGCAAACGTTGAAGTGACCTGATTTCTTAGCATTGGCAAACGAAGAAGCAAAGGAGAATACCAAGCTGATTTACCACGCCAAAACGTATGTATCACTTTCCGATTATCACAAAATAATTTCAAGTACTCGGAAGCTACGCCGTACATATCAGCTGAATGCTACTTATAAAAACTGTAATTTGTTTTTGGATTATTGAAGCGAGGCCAAATAAATTAAACCCAAACATACTTAGAGAGTGCATTATATCGGAACCACCAGATTTCATTTTTATGTCCACATATACCTCAAAAAGACGAAGAAATTCGTATCATTTCTTGTGGCAATATATATATATATA